TACATCTTATATCTGCTATACTTAGGAATGAACGCATTCTATCTTAAAAACACTGTGTTCATTTTACAGATAACCCATCCTCACTCGTGGCTTAATTTTCGCATTTAATTTAATTCCCAATCGCATTCGGGCTATGCAATAATCAAATAAGCACATTACATATGTGAAAACATGAATAATTTTTTACCCCGACCGGGACTTGAAACTAGAACTTATAATTAGTAAGTGAAAGTGCTACCAACTACAAACCAAAGAAGGTTAAAACAAATTCAACCTTATAGCTTATATCTGTTTTACTTACGAATGAATGCATTCTATCTGAATGCCATTGTGTTCATATTACAGATTCCCCAACCTCACTCATGGCTTCATTTTTGCATTTAATTCAATTCCCAATCTCATTCGGGCTATACAATAACCAAATAAGCACATTGTATATGTGAAAACATGAATCATTTTTTACCCCGACCGGGACGTGAAACTAGGACTTATAATTACTAAGTCAAGGCGCTACCAACTACACACCACAGAAGGTTAAAAGGAATCCAACATTATAGCTTATATCTGCTATACTTAGGAATGAACGCATTCTATCTGAATGCCACTGTGCTCATATTACAGATTCCCCAACCTTACTCGTGGCTTCATTTTTGCACACATAACTCAATTCCCAATGTCATTGGGGATATACAATAACCAAAAAAGCACATTACATGTGAAAACATGAATCAATTTTCACCCAAAAAGGGACTTGAATCTAGGACTTATAATTACTAAGTCTAGGCGCTACCAACTGCACACCACATAAGGTTAAAAGGAAACCAAACTTATAGCTTATATCTGCTATACTTAGGAATGAACGCATTCTATCTGAATGCCACTTAGTTCATATTACAGATTCCCCAACCTCACTCTTGGCTTCATTTTCACATTTAATTCAGTTCCCACTTTCATTCGGGCTATACAATAACCAAATAAGCACATTACATATGTGAAAACATGAATAATTTTTTTACTCCGACCGGGATTTGAACCTAGGACTTATAATTACTAAGTCAAGGTACTATCAACTACACACCACAGAAGGTTAAAAGGAATCCAACCTTACATTTTTTATCTGCTATACTTAGGAATGAACGCATTCTATCTTAAAAACACTGTGTTCATTTTACAGATAACCCATCCTCACTCGTGGCTTAATTTTCGCATTTAATTTAATTCCCAATCGCATTCGGGCTATACAATAATCAAATAAGCACATTACATATGTGAAAACATGAATAATTTTTTACCCCGACCGGGACTTGAAACTAGAACTTATAATTAGTAAGTGAAAGTGCTACCAACTACAAACCAAAGAAGGTTAAAACGAATTCAACCTTATAGCTTATATCTGTTTTACTTACGAATGAATGCATTCTTTCTGAATGCCACTGTGTTCATATTACAGATTCCCCAACCTCACTTGAGGCATCATTTTTGCATTTAATTCAATTCTCAATCTCATTCGGGCTATACGATTACCAAATAAGCACATTACATATGTGAAAACATGAATCATATTTTTACCCTGACCGGTACTTGAACCTATAACTTATATTTACTAAGTCAAGGTGCTACCAACTACACACCACAGAAGGTTAAAAAGAATCCATCCTTATAGCTTATATCTGCTATACCTAGGAATGAACGCATTCTATATGAATGCCACTGTGTTCATATTGCAGATTCCCCAACCTCACTTGTGGATTCATTTTCGCATTTAATTCAATTCCCTATCTCATTCGGGCTTTACAATAACCAAATGAGCACACTACATATGTGAAAACATGAATCATTTTTTGCATTGTCTGGGACTTGAACCTGGGAATTATAATTATTAAGTCAAGGCAATACCAATTACACACCACAGAAGGTTAAATGGAATCCAGCTTATAGCTTATATCTGCTATACTTAGGAATGAACGCATTCTATGTGAATGCCACTGTGTTCATATTAGAGATTCCCCCACCACACTCGTGGCTTTATTTTTGCATTTAATTCAATTCCCAATCTTATTTGGGCTATATAAAAACAAAATAAGCACATTACATATGTGAAACCATGAATAATATTTTACCCCGACATGGACTTCAACCTAGGACTTATAAATAATAAGTCAAGACGCTAGCAACTAGACACCATGGAAGAATAAAAGAAATCCAACCTTATAGCTAATATCTGCTATACTTAGGAGTGAACGCATTTAATCTGAATGCAAAGATATTCATATTACAGATTCCCCAACCTTACTACGCACCACAGAGGGTTTAAAGGAATCCAATCTTATAGCTTATATCTGCTATACTTAGGAATCAACGCATTCTATCTGAAAGCCACTGTGTTCATATTACAGATTCCCCAACCTAACTTGAGGCTTCATTTCCGCATTTAATTCAATTCCCAATCTCAGTCTGGCTATACAGTAACCAAATAAGCACATTACATATGTGAAAACATGAATCATTTTTTACCCTGACAGGGATTTCAACCTACGGCTTATAATTCCTAAGTCAAGGCGCTACCAACTACACACAACAGAAGGTTAAAAGGAATCCAACCTTATAGCTTATTACTGCTATACTTAGGAATGAATGCATTCTATCTGAATGCCAATGTGTTCAAAATAGAGATTCCCCAACCTACATCGTGGCTTAATTTTCACATTTAATTTAATTCCCAATCTCAAGCGGGCTATACAGTAACCAAATAAGCACATTTTAAATGAGAAAACATGAATCACTTTTTACCCAAACCGGGACTTGAACCTAGGACTTATAATTACTAAGTCAATGCGCTACCAACTACACACCACAAAAAGTTAAAAGGAATCCAACCTTATAGCTTATATCTGCTATACTTAGGAATGAACGCATTCTATTCGAATGCCACTGTGTTCATATTACAGATTCCCCATCCTCATTCGAGGATTCATTTTCACATTTAATTCAATTCCCAATCTCATTCGGGCTATATAATAACCAAATAAGCACATTACACATGTGAAAACATGAATAATTTTTTTTTACCCCAACCGGGACTTAAACCTAGGACTTATGATTACTAAGTTAAGGCGCTACCAACTACACACCACTGAAGCTTAAAAGGAATCCAACCTTATAGCTTATATCTGCTATACATAGGAATGAACGCATTCTATATGAATGCCACTGTGTTCATATTACAGATTCCCCATCCTCACTCGTGGCTTCATTATTGCATTTAATTTAATTCCCAATCTCATTCGGGCTAAACAATAATCATATAAGCACATTACATATGTGAAAACATGAATCATCTTTTACCCTGACATTGACTTGAACCTACGACTTATAATTACTAAGTAAAGGCACTACCAACTACGCACCACAGAAGGTTAAAAGGAATCTAACCTTATAGCTTATATCTGCTATACTTCGGAATGAATGCATTCTATCTGAATGCCTTTGTGTTCATATTACAGATTCCTCAACCTCACTCGTGGCTTCATTTTCGCATTTAATTCAATTCCCAATCTCATTCGGGCTATACAATAACCAAATAAGCACATTACATATGTGAAAACATGAATCATTTTTTACCTTGTCTGGGACTTGAACCTGGGAATTATAATTATTAAGTCAAGGCAATACCAAGTACACACCACAGAAGGTTAAATGGCATCCAGCTTATAGCTTATATCTGCTATACTTAGGAATGAACGCATTCTATGTGAATGCCACTGTGTTCATATTACAGATTTCCCCACCTCACTTGTGGCTTCACTTTTGCATTTAATTGAATTCCCAATCTCATTCGGGCTATATAAAAACAAAATAAACACATTACATATGTGAAAACATGAATAATATTTTACCCCGACAGGGACTTCAACCTAGGACTTATAAATAATAAGTCAAGATGCTATCAACTAGACACCACGGAAGAATAAAAGATATCCAACTTTATAGCTAATATCTGCTATACATAGGAATGAACGCATTCAATCTGAATGCCAAGATATTCATATTATAGATTCCCCAACCTCACTCGTGGCTTCTTTTTCGCATTTAATTCAATTCCCAATCTCATTCGAGCTATACAATAACCAAATAAGCACATGACATATGTGAAAACATGAATAATTTTTTTTTACCCCGTCTGGGATTCGAACCTAGGACTTATAATTACTAAGTCAAGGCGCTACCAGCTACGCACCACAGATGGTGAAAAGGAATCCAATCTTATACCTTACATCTGCTATACTTAGGAATGAACGCATTCTATCTGAATGCCACTGTGTTCATATTACAGATTCCCCAACCTAACTTGAGGCTTCATTTTGGCATTTAATTCAATTCCCAATCTCAGTCTGGCTATACAGCAACCAAATAAGCACATTACATATGTGAAAACATGAATCATTTTTTACCCTGACAGGGATTTCAACCTACGGCTTATAATTCCTAAGTCAAGGCGCTACCAACTACACACCACAGAAGGTTAAAAGGAATCCAACCTTATAGCTTATAACTGCTATACTTAGGAATGAATGCATTCTATTTGAATGCCAATGTGTTCATATTACAGATTCCCCAACCTAACTTGAGGCTTCATTTCCGCATTTAATTCAATTCCCAATCTCAGTCTGGCTATACAGTAACCAAATAAGCACATTACATAAGTGAAAACATGAATCATTTTTTACCCTGACAGGGATTTCAACCTACGGCTTATAATTCCTAAGTCAAGGCGCTACCAATTACACACCACAGAATGTTAAAAGGAATCCAACCTTATAGCTTATAACTGCTATACTTAGGAATGAATGCATTCTATCTGAATGCCAATGTGTTCATAATAGAGATTTCCCAACCTACATTGTGGCTTCATTTTCACATTTAATTCAATTCCCAATCTCACGCGGGCTATACAGTAACCAAATAAGCACATTTTATATGTGAAAACATGAAAAACTTTTTACCCCAACCGGGACTTGAACCTAGGGCTTATAATTACTAAATCTAGGCGCTTCCAACTACGCACCACAGAAGGTTAAAAGGAATCCAACCTTATAGCTTATATCTGCTATACTTAGGAATGAACACATTCTATTCGAATGCCACTGTGTTCATATTACAGATTCCCCAACCTCATTCGTGGATTCATTTTCACATTTAATTCAATTCCGAATCACATTCGGGCTATATAATAACCAAATAAGCACATTACACATATGAAAACATGAATAATTTTTTTTTACCCCAGCCGGGACTTGAACCTAGGACTTATGATTACTAAATTAAGGCGCTACAAACTACACACTACTGAAAGTTAAAAGGAATCCAACCTTATAGCTTATATCTGCTATACATAGGAATGAACGCATTCTATATGAATGCCAAAGTGTTCATATTACAGGTTCCCCATCCTCACTCGTGGCTTCATTATTGCATTTAATTCAATTCCCAATCTCATTCGGGCTAAACAATAACCATATAAGCACATTACATATGTGAAAACATGAATCATCTTTTACCCTGACCTTGACTTAAACCTAGGGCTTATAATTACTAAGTAAAGGCACTACCAACTACGCACCACAGAAGGTTAAAAGGAATCCAACCTTATAGCTTATATCTGCTATACTTAGGAATGAATGCATTCTATCTGAATGCCACTGTGTTCATATTACAGATTCCTCAACCTCACTCGTGGCTTCATTTTCGCATTTAATTTAATTCCCAATCTCATTCGGGCTATATAATAACCAAATAAGCACATTACACATGTGAAAACATGAATAATTTTTTTTTACCCCAACCGGGACTTGAACCTAGGACTTATGATTACTAAGTTAAGGCGCTACCAACTACACACCACAGAAGTTTAAAAAGAATCCAACCTTATAGCTTATATCTGCTATAATTAGGAATGAACGCATTCTATATGAATGCCACTGTGTTCATATTGCAGATTCCCCAACCTCACTCGTGGCTTCATTTTCGCATTTAATATAATTCCCTATCTCGTTCGGGCTTTACAATAACCAAATAAGCACAATACATTTGTGAAAACATGAATCATTTTTTACCTTGAGTGGGACTTGAACCTGGGAATTATGATTATTAAGTCAAGGCAATACCAACTAAACACCACAAAAGGTTAAATGGAATCCAGTTTATAGCTTATATCTGCTATACTTTGGAATGAACGCATTCTATTTGAATGCCACTGTGTTCATATTACATTTTCCCCCACCTCACTCGTGGCTTCATTTTTGCATTTAATTCAATTCCCAATCTTATTCGGGCTATATAAAAACAAAATAAGCACATTACATATGTGAAACCATGAATAATATTTTACCCCGACAGGGACTTCAACCTAGGACTTATAAATAAAAAGTCATGATGCTAGCAACTAGACACCATGGAAGAATAAAAGAAATCCAACCTTATAGCTAATATCTGCTATACTTAGGAATGAACGCATTTAATCTGAATGCCACTATATTCATATTACAGATTCCCCAACCTCACTCGTGGCTTCATTTTCGCATTTAATTCAATTCCCAATCTCATTCGAGCTATATAATAACCAAATAAGCACATGACATATGTGAAAACATGAATAATTTTTTTTTACCCCGACTGGGATTCGAACCTAGGACTTATAATTACTAAGTCAAGGCGCTACCAACTACGCACCAGAGAGGGTTAAAAGGAATCCAATCTTATAGCTTATATCTACTATACTTACGAATGAATGCATTCTATCTGAAAGCCACTGTATTCATATTACAGATTCCCCAACCTAACTTGAGGCTTCATTTCCTCATTTAATTCAATTCCCAATCTCAGTCTGGCTATACAGTAACCAAATAAGCACATTACATATGTGAAAACATGAATCATTTTTTACTCTGACAGGGATTTCAACGTACGGCTTATAATTCCTAAGTCAAGGTGCTACCAACTACACACCACAGAAGGTTAAAAGGAATCCAACCTTATAGCTTATAACTGCTTAATTAGGAATGAATGCATTCTATCTGAATGCCAATGTGTTCATAATAGAAATTCCCCAACTTACATCGTGGCTTCATTTTCACATTTAATTCATTTAACAATCTCACGTGGGCTAAACAGTAACCAAATAAGCACATTTTATATGTGAAAACATGAATCACTCTTTACCCCAACCGGGACTTGAACCTAGGACTTATAATTACTATGTCACGGCGCTACCAACTACACACCACAGAAGGTTAAAAGGAATCCAACCTTATAGCTTATATCTGCTATACTTAGGAATGAACACATTCTATTCGAATGCCACTGTGATCATATTACAGAGTCCCCAACCTCATTCGTGGATTCATTTTCACATTTAATTCAATTCCCAATCTCATTCGGGCTATATAATAACCAAATAAGCACATTACACATGTGAAAACATGAATAATTTTTTTTTACCCCAGCCGGGACTTGAACCTAGGACTTATGATTACTAAGTTAAGGCGCTACCAACTACACACCACTGAAGGCTAAAAGGAATCCAACCTTATAGCTTATATCTGCTATACATAGGAATGAACGCATTCTATATGAATGCCACTGTGTTCATATTACAGATTCCCCATCCTCACTCGTGGCTTCATTATTGCATTTAATTCAATTCCCAATCTCATTCGGGCTAAACAATAACCATTTAAGCACATTACATATGTGAATACATGAATCATCTTTTACCCTGACCTTGACTTGAACCTAGAACTTATAATTACTAAGTAAAGGCACTACCAACTACGCACCACAGAAGGTTAAAAGGAATCCAACCTTATAGCTTATATCTGCTATACCTAGGAATGAATGCATTCTATCTGAATGCCACTGTGTTCATATTACGGATTCCTCAACCTCACTCGTGGCTTCATTTTCGCATTTAATTCAATTCCCAATCTCACTCGGGCTATACAATAATCAAATAAGCACATGACATATGTGAAAACATGAATATTTTTTTACTGCGACCGGGAATTCAACCTAGGACTTATAATTACTAAGTCAAGGCGCTACCAACTACACACCAAAAAGGGTTAAAAGGAATCCAACTGTATAGCTTATATCTGCTATACTTAGGAATGATCGCATTCTATCTGAATGCCACTGTGTTCATATTACAGATTCCCCAACCTCACTCTTGGCTTCGATTTCGCATTTATTTCAATTCCCAATCTTATTCGGACTATACAATAACCAAATAAGCACATTGCAAATGTGAAAACATGAATCTTTTTTACTCCAACTTCAACTTGAACCTAGGACTTATAATTGCTAAATCAAGGCACTATAAACTACACACCACAGAAGGTTAAAAGGAATCCAACTTTATGGTTTATATCTGCTATACTTAGGAATGAATGCATTCTATTTGAATGTCACTATGTTCATCTTACAGATTCCCCAACCTCACTCGTGGCTTCATTTTTGCATTTAATTCAATTCCCAATCTCATTCGGGCTAGACAATAACCAAATAAGCACATTACATATGTGAAAACATGAGTCTTTTTTACCCCAACTTGGACATGAGCCTTGGACTTATAATTGTTAAGTCAAGGTGCTATAAAGTACACACCACAGAAGGTTAAAAGGAATCCAACATTATGGCTTATATCTGCTATACTTAGGAATGAATGCTTTCTATCTGAATGCCACGGTGTTCATATTACAGATTCATCAACCTTACTCGTGACTTCATTTTCGCATTTAATTCAATTCCCAATTTCATTCAGGCTATACAATAACCAAATAAGCACATTACATATGTGAAAACATGAATAATATTTTTTTCCCCGGCCAGGACCTGAACCTAGGACTTATAATTACTAATTCAAGGCGCTACCAACTACTCACCACAGAGGGTTAAAAGGAATCAAACATTATAGCTTATATCTGCTATACTTAGCAATGAACACATTCTATCTGAATGCCACTGTGTTCTTATTACAGATTCCACAACTTCACTCTAGGCTTCATTTTCACATTTAATTCAATTCCCAATCTCATTCGGGCTATACAGTAACAAAATAATCACATTAAATATGTGAAAACATAAAATAATTTTTTACAAAGACTGGGATTTGAAACTAGGACTTATAATTACTAATTCAAGGCGCTAACAACTACACACCATAGAATGTTGAAAGGAATTCAACCTTATACCATATATCTGCTATACTTAGGAATGAATGCATTCTATCTGAATGGCACTGTGTTCATAATAGAGATTCCCGAAGCAATCTCGTGGCTTCATTTTCGCATTTAATTTAAGTCCCAATCTTATTTGGGCTATACAATAACCAAATAAGAAAATTATATATGTGAAAACATGAGTCATCTTTACCCCGACCGGAACTTGAACCTAGGACTTATAATTACTATGTAAAGGTGCTACCAACTACACAAAACGGAAGGTTTAGAGGAATCCAACCTTATAGCTTATATCTGCTATACTAAGAAATAAACGCATTCTATCTGAATGCCACTCTGTTCATAATAGAGATTCCCCAACCTACCTCGTGGCTTCTTATTCATATTCAATTTAAGTCCTAATCTCATATGGGCTATACAATAACCAAATAAGCACATTACATATTTGAAAACATGAATCATATTTTACAACAACCGTGACTTGAACCTAGGACTTATAATTACTAAGTCAAGGCACTACCAACTACACACCACACAAGGTTAAAAGGAATCCAACCTTATAGCTTCTATCTGCTCTACTTAGGAATGAACGCTTTCTATATGAATGCCACTATGTTCATATTACAGATTCCACAACCTCACTCGAGGTTTCATTTTCGCATTTAATTCAATTCCCAATCTCATTCTGGCTATACAATAACCAAATAAGCACATTACATATTTGAAAACATGAATATTTTTTTTTACCCCTACTAGGACTTGAACCTAGGACTTATAATTACTAAGTCAAGGTGCTACCAACTACTCACCACAGAGGGTAAAAAAGGAATCCAACCTTA